CACCGCCACCGCTCTGGGACGCCTCGGCGGCCTCCCGCCGCGGCGTCATGGCCGTGGCGGACGGGCGCTTTTTCTGGCGCGCCTTCTTCTTCTGCGAGGCGTGGAAGCGCGCGCCGATGCGAATGTTGAGGGCCTGCAGGATTTTGGAGTAGGTGATCAGCATGACGGCGGCGGTGAAGAAGAAAATGGGAATTTGAGCCCACAGGTGGTAGTAGAGGCCCGGTTGGGCGGAGTAGCGGTCGGCGCGCTCCCCCAGGGTCTGGTTGAGTCGGGCGCGGCCCGCCGCGAAGAAGCCCACCTCGGCGAAGGGCACCAGGAAGCTGGCGAAGGACAGCAGCCAAACGGCCGCCATGAGCGCCGGGGCCCGCCGCGCGGTCAGCACGCGGTTGGCCGGCTTGACCGAGATGTCGTAGCGGTCCAGGGTGACGGCCAGCACGTTGGCGGCCGTGGCCACGCCGGCGAAGGACACGCAGGCCTCGTGGAAGCGGCGCAGCGGGGCCGCCTCGCCCTCCGGGGAGAGCAGGACCACGGCGACGGTGAGGGGGATGCAGCAGAGGCACACCAGCGCGTCGGCCACGTGGAGGTTCACCGTCACCGCGTTGCTGACCGAGCTGATCAGGTTGGACTTGAGGCAGTAGAGGGCCAGCACCGTCAGGTTGGAGCTCAGGCCCAGGAGGAGCTCCAGCGCGAGGAATCCCGCCACCGACGCCTGGAAGCCCAGCGGGTAGCCGGCGGGCGCCGGGCGGCCGAGGGGCTCCTTGTCGTCGCTTACCGTCACGTTGCTCATGGCGCCTTCTCCCTTCGGCGAGGGGATGATATGCATTCTCCTGTGGCCTTTGAGGGAGACAAAGGCCACGCGTTGGCTGTGTTCCCGCATCCCGAACGCTTCCCGACCAACCGCCACGGCATCTCGGGGGGGGGGGGGGGGGTTTCGTTTGGGGTTTTTTTGATGGGTCGCGACAGGGCGCGGGCTAGCCATATCGCCGTTACTTGAAGTGCCTTTTGCCTTCGATGGTCGCGGTAAGCTAGCACGGCGCCGTAATCGCACGGTTTTCTTGGCGGTCGCCGGAGTCTCCGTTTGTATGCGTTGCTGCTCTGCGCGCTCGAGAAAGTCGCCGTTGCTTCAAGGCTTACCGTAACGTCGACGCTCGTTTCTTTTAGCAAGTCGGCGGGCTTTGGCGTTTTCTGAGCATCGAGCGAGCCGACTTTCGTTGGACGAAACGACGTGCTTTGGGTCAACATTTTAGTGCGCACTTGGAAATTGCTTTCCAGTCATCCGAAGGTGGAACTTGCGGTGAAACGGCTTGAAGCAAGCGCACTTCACATCTTCGGTGAGGAACCGTGCAAGCGCGTCTGAGGTTTAGGGTGCCCCCCCCCCCGGACCAAAGCTCTCAAAAGGGCTCTCAGAAGCGACAGGCACGCTAAAAAGAAGGAGATGGTTGCAATTGAAATGGAAGCGAGGTTGCGGACACCCGTCGCCTCGAGCGACTTGACAACGGCGCGACATGAAACAGCCCAGAGTTTCTTTAACGGGGGCGGGGCCTCAGGTGACACGTCGATATCTCCAAATGAGCTTGCGGGAGTACTTACCCTCTCCTCCGGCGTTATCTGAGTCGCAGGCCGGCGGAATCAGGCCAGTGAGCGCGCGCGGGGTCCGTCCGAGTGAGCATCGCGTCCGGACATCGCCGGCGCGTCGGGCTTTTCCTTAGCGGGGATGCGCCCGTCCGTCCGGAGGCCTGCCGACTTTCGCTCGGGTCCTTTGAGAGACTTCTGGGGGACGGGCTGCTCGCGCGCTTATGCGGTCAGGAGCGGCTCGTGATTTTGTCCCCGTCCCAGGAGAGACGTCCGATCAAACGAAGAGAGCCCGCGCGCTCGCCCGGGGGTCCGCCAGCTCGTATTCCGAGAGCGTGTCAGTCGGTCGGCTCGATCCGCCCTTACGAGGTCAGCGCATCCGGCCGGTCGCCCCGGCCCATGCCTGCTGCCCCGACAGCTCTAACGGAGCGGGCCTTGGCCGTCCGCCTCTTCTATGGGCACGAGGGATCGCAGAGGCGTCGCGCTGGCGTATCCAAAGCAGGTCTCCCGTCGGCTCCTCAACATGCTTGAACCCTCGCCGACGGCAGATAGCGTGAGTGGAGCGGATTAGCGGCGCGTCCAATCGGCACGGCGTGTGACCGCCGTGACATTTGCGAGAGCGGAATTTATCGCGGGCCGGCGAGGGCGGAGGGACCGGCAGGAGGGAAGGTCGTCGCCGGGAGTTGGGAGAGAACGGGATTTTTTCCTCCCCACCCTTCAATCCTGCATTTTGAGGCGACCTGGGGAGAGAGAAAGAGCCGGCAAATGGATGAGAGGGGAGGAGGTACGAGCGGGGGACGCGTGGCCGAAAGGAAACCCGCATCCGCCGAGCGGAGAGGCAAGCGAGAAGGTCTCATTTGCACGGCAGCGCGGCGAGCTTCCGACGTCTCGCCCGCTCCCCTCGCCATTTCCCTCTCCGCAAACCCCCCTCGGATTTGGGGACCATTGATTTTTGCCACGCAAATCATCGGGCGGAGAAGCGCCGGCGCGAAAGCATTTCGCCGATGACCCGCTTGCGCAATTCGCCCCGATGTCGGGCGGGCGGAGCGGCCGAGAGCCTCGCGAGCGCAGCGTGATTCCGAAGGCAAGTCGTCAGGCGGACGCGGACGGCTCCTCCCACGGCACTCCGCGCGAATCCTCCTCCAACCCGGGGGGTGGGGGGGGGGGTGCCCACCGCTCTGCGAGTCTTCGAACGGATCGCTGTCCATCTGGTCCAAGTGCTTCTCCTGTTGCCGTTGACTTTGGAGTAGAAGGCGGACTCGGCGCCGGAGCGGCGGCCTTTGCGCAACTGGAGAGCCCCCCCCTCCGAAACGGTCCGTTCACGCCAACAAGAAAGCGCGGTGTCCCGGTCATTTTCCGGGAGACGTCCCCCTTCCCTTTTCAAGTCCTCTCATTTTTCTTTTGTTCTCTTGTCGAATCTTGCGTCGCTCTCTGATTTTTTTCTCCCGCACATCCGCCGCACGCGCATCGGACCGGATAGCTCGAGGCTACGCGGACCAACTACAGAAGTTGCGCGACGCAAAAGACGCGAGCGTCGTGCGCCGGCGATGCGGCCGGCCGCCGGACTCGTAAACGAATGAGTTGCGAGTTCCCCGTCCAAAGGCGGACGAGCTCACCGTCAACGTCGATGGATGCTCCGCGCCGTCGCTCGTTGTGGCAGGAGACGGCGAGGGAGTTGGTCGGCGGTGGGCTCCTCCGCCTCCGGTCTCTCATCCACGCGGGCGGCCGAGTGTGTGAACGCTCCTCATCGTCCGTCGGCCGTCTGGACGGGAGTGCGAAGAATGGTGCTCCTGCTCTCTCGCTCGCTCTCTCTCGGCGCGACGCTCGCTCGCTCGCTCGCTCCCTCCCTTCCTCCGTCTCTCTCTTTTACTGCGGAGGTTTGCGGCGCTCTCCCGCTCCTGATTGGTCTGCCGGAATGGCTTTAAGCCCAAGGGGACGCCTTTCCTTTTGTTCTCACTCAATCCGGCCACGCGAGGCGTCCCGAGCGGGGCTGTCGCAAAAATGGACCTCATTGGGGCTTGGGGGTCCGCTCGGATGCCTCAACTAAGCCTGCAACCAGTGGCGGCAAGTAACCAAGTAGAAATGGCTTGTTCCTGGACTCGCGTGAGGCGGCACGTCGACCGATTGGTGCGGAGGACTCGACTTTGATCTTTTGATCTTAAATGAGTTGAGATGCCGGGAATCAAGTCGCGGCTGACGCTGCAAACTGAATGGCGACTGACGGATGATCACGATGGCCACTCGCGGTTGCAAAAAGCCCCAAATGGATGTCGCGCCAAAGCCGGCAAATAGCAGATGGAGGTTGACGTTGCTGCGCACCATGAAAATGAGCAGCGGCCTTTCTGCTGCCCATTTGTCACGTGCCATTGTGGCAGGTGTCGTCATTGTTGAATGAGAGCGCCCCCCCTTGAAGAGCCCAGGGTGACGCTCGCCTCTAACCCGAATGTGGAGGCCGAAGCTTCGAGTTGGGAACGTCTCAACCCGACTCAAGCGTATTTCCCGAGCACTTGAAAGCAACCATCGCTGTCGAAAAAGTGCTGTGCGGGGAGCAAATATCGGACGTACTACAATAAAACAAGAAGTCATAAGAAAGACAGCGGAAAGCACAAAACAGTCAAAATGTCGTGACATGGAAGCAAAAGGAGGACAATTTGGACGACAAAGGACGTTTCTCGACATTGTCTGGTGCACTTTTAGCATCAATGCTACAACAGCGCCACAAATGTGATTCGCGGAGGTCCCGACAGACGTGCGCTCCTCTCGTCCGTCCGACCCGTCAAAGAAGTGGAAGTCATGGAGCGCCGGCGCTCCGGTGGTATGATTTGAAAGGGTCACCGCGCAACGACCAAGGACGGCAACGGGCCGCTTCGTTCCGTGCAAAGCGGTTTGATTTGTGCTCTTGAGGACGGCGCTCACCCCGGAGCCAGATGATTAAGACGGCCAAATGACGGGGCCTTGACACCGGGGCTACCGAAGCGGGACGCGAGCGCCGCCGACTTCCGCTGATGAACGACGTGACGGACCGTCGGCCTCGGCCGGAGACGCTTGGCCTCGCGTCCTCTCGCGCGTATCACGCCACGCCGAGTCATTCCGAATCCCGGCCGCGCCGGCCTTTCTCTCTTTCGTTGAGCGCCGCTGCGATCGGCTCCAGATTGCCCCGGCGACAGAACAAGGCCGATACTAATCGAGTGGCTCCTTCCCAAAAAGCTGTCCCGTGATGTGATCCCCTGCCTATTTTATCTCGCGGCGCCACCGAACCAACGCTCGCGGGTATTTATAACATCATCGGCGCATCGGCACGCGGACGTCAACAATTCTGCGTTGATGCGGTGGCAGACCAAAATAGACGACGCGGCGTGCCGGAAACAGTCCAGGCCTGGCCTTCCAAAAGACAAATTTCAAACCCAAACGACAAAACAGACATCGTGGCCTTTACTTGGTAAAAGTTGCCGCGGGACGATTCGAATTGATTCCTGACAATGAACTGAGCATCTGACATCTGTCACGCCGTCACGAGGAAGAAAATTGAGCCGACGTGGACACTGGATCGGAGGTGACAGGTTCGCGTAGCGCTAGCTCGCTGTTACAACACAGCGCAGATGGATTTCGTGGACCAAAGGGGGGGGACACCCTGGATTGTATCTCCCGGAAGTTCAAGTGCGCCATTTGAAAGTCCAAAAGAAAAGCATTTCCGTCGCTGAAAGCTGCTGCGTCGCTACACCCGCGAGCGTAGCGATGGCCTCCTCATCTGTGGAGGTGGAAAAAGAAGTCAGGACAAAGTTCAGGTAGCTGCGTTGAAATGTGGGGAGGCAGGGTCAAAGGTCATCAGAAAATGCAAGGAACGAATCAAATCAGCCCCAAAGTGGAGCTCGCCACCACCGGTGGCCAGTGAGCGCACGTTGACACGGAGGCGAGCGCGAACAAGGAAGAGGTCGGCGGGTGTTGGCGGCCCACGTCGAGGCTCTGAGTCAGCGCCTCGTCCGCGTGCGCTTTCAACGGCCTTTCAGCCGCCGCGCGGGCGGGCGGGCTCGCGGCCAGGAAAACGGGGAGCGCGGCGGCGCCGACAAACAATGCCACGGCTTTCGCTCGCCGCGCCGCAAACGAGCGTCTCGCTCGGCCGCCGCCGCCCGAGCTCGGTCCGGGCGACTCCCTTTCGAAAGTGAGGGACAATTTCTGCCTTGGCAGACGGCGAGATTTGCTTGCGTCTTATCGGATATGTTTCCAGAGCGCGCGCTCGGGACCGCGCCGCGCCTCCGGAAGTCCAACAAGGTAGCAAGCGGATCGGTTGCGGCCCCGTGCGGACACGGGGGAAATCGGAGCGGTCGTCCGTTGCTCGTCGATGTCGTCTCATGGCAGGAGAGTCGATGGGCACGGCGAGACAAAGAGGCCCCGATGTGATCGATCCCCAAAAAGTCGTCCCGTTTCGGGGAACAAATGCAGTCACAGCTCGCTTTTCGACCTTAATCCGTTCCGGAAGGCTGTTTGGAAACCGAAACCACGCTCCGCAAAAAAAAAAAAAAAAAAACCAACAAATCTTTCTTGAACACGTTTGCTCACAATGGAACGCTCCACGAGGAAGGAAGGCCAGACGAGTCAAGTGGCGCATTCAAGTGCGCTCGGGTTGGTCCAGAAGCCATTTTGGGTCGTCATCCGAGGCATCAAAATGTCGACATTTTTGGTCAAAAACTATTTTGGTGGAGAACAGAGACGTTGGAAAAGCGAGGTTTGACCGTATTGGAACGGAGGTCGTCGAGGCAGCGAAGTTCGGCCGTCCGGCGCCCCCCCTCCCTCCGGCCCTCGCTTCTTCTCAGCAACGGAAGGCATCCGAGAGGCGATCGACTTCCCGTCCCGGCCGGCGCATCTGTTTGCGTTCGCGGTGTCAGGCGAGGCGTGGGAACGCACGCTGGGGACACGGCGCCGGCGTAGCGCGGCGAGAGCGGCCCCACGCACGCAAACGTACGCGCCCGCCACGGCACGTACGGTCGGCTCCAACTCCGGGCCACCCGGCCGTCGGATGTCTCCTCGCGGACCCTCGTTGCCCCCCCGGGAATTGTTGTTCCTGGAAACCGCGCAGCTGCTCTCCTCGGACAAACTCTTTCATCGGGGGCGAGGGCGGCCGACGATTCGTGACCTCTTTCGTACGAGCACAAACGGGTGGTCTTTTGTGACCCCGACCCCCCTCAAAACGGAATCGCTCGCTCGGCTTTCTCGCCGGCGCCGTGTCTGTACGTGTTGAAATGTAGCTGGCGATGCAACTTGGGAGGGAAAAACTCATTTGGGCGGAGGGAATGCAAACAATCCCCGTTTCAGAAGACGAGAAGAAATCAACAAGTGGGAGTCTCGGCGCAGCTGATGAGAGAAGACCATTGGACACGGGGGACCGAGAAGGTGCCGTGTGACCTTTCGGCGCAAATTAAAATGCCCTTTTGCGTTTCCGCACGGAAAAGAAGACGTGGGGGGGGCGCGGCAGCTATCTAATTGGGACACATATGCCGGTCGTATTTCGGGGGCACGCGCGCGGCGGCTTCCTTTCACACCATTTCCAGAAATAGACCGCCGTCGCCTTCCGCAAGCGAGTCGGCTGTGACAACTTGAAGGATGACAAAAATAGCTTTGCTCCAAATCAAGAGATTTCAAAGGCGCCACTCCTGCAATGTTTCAACTCCTTCTCTTGAGAAAAACAAAACAAAAAACACGCTTGACATGTCACCAGAGGTTAAAAAAAACAAAAAAAAGTCCTCATCCTATTTGAGCAAAACATTCAAACCAGGCATAGAAGGTCCATTTTCAAATGGAGGGAACCCGAGTGGCCCCCAACACACTCGAGTCAAGTGCGGGAAGAAAGCAAATCTCATTGATGACTTTCCACCGCCGGCGTCAAGTGGGCGGCAGTGTTCACGTGGCGGCACGAAGCCGTTCCCGCTCCATCGAAAGGCTTTTTGTGAACGGAGCGGGAGGCGACTCGAAAGCTAACTCGTTGATCGGCGGCGTGTCGGGCGGGCCGACGGGCGCAGGACCGGCAGAGGCCGGAGTCCGTTGTCGCCGACGCGCCGGCTCCAGCGTGGAAAGCCGCCTCGCCTCACCGGGCCTCGCCGCGCTGGCCTTTTACGCTTCCGAAGCGCTTTGAGAGCACGGGCGCCGATGACGCGCCGGCCGGCCCACCGGCTCGGCTCGCTCCCGCTCTCGGACTTAACGACCGGCTTGCAAAGAGGAAGGGACCTCGTCGCGCGACGTGGCGCGATTGGCCCTCGCCATTCCGTCTGCCATTCCAATTTCGAAATGCAGCCTGTGTTTGGAACGTGAGAGGAAAGCGGAGCAGCCGTCGAAAACCCACGCGGGCGGACGGAAGCGATGACGGAAGCGCGCTTTCGGAGAACCTGACGGACAGACCGATCGACCGGTTTGACGGGCGGCCGTAAGGGGGACGGCGAACAACGTGACCAACGTGAAGTGCGATGGCACCGACGGCGACCGCTCGGCGCTCCTCCGCGCAGACGTCCGCCGACAGCCGTGAGGCCCGCCTCCAACGAGATGCGGCATCGGCGGGCTCTTTGGCGCCAAAAGGCAAAGGGATTCCACTGAGTTTCCAGCCCGTTTGCGTGATGTGTCATGACAGAGCCTTTTCCTCCTGCGCTTTGATTTTGGAGAGTCCGCTTCCCGGGACCTTCTGTGTCTCTTTCCCTTCAATGACCAGGCTGGGTCGTGTCGGAGGGCGCTCCCCCGCCGGCGGCTGATCAGCACTGACCTCCCGCGGATCACGGCCGTGCTGATCTGCCGGCGGGTGCCAGATGATTCCGGCGTCACGAGCGCGATCTACAACACGCTTGCCGTTTTGCTCTTTTTGGTGCATCCTCAATTGTTCTGGTTTGTCTCGTTCCAGTGCCTGCCCGGCTCCCCGTTTGCCTCCCCGGACCACGTGACCCCGC